AGAGGGAAAAGAGAGAGACAGACAGGAGGACAGAGAAGAAAGAGAGAGGAAAGAGAGACAGAGAGACACACAGAGAGAAAGGAGAGACAGGTGGAGAGAGAGAGGAGAAAGGGGAGGGGGAGAAAGAGACAGAGACAGAGAGAGAAAGGAGAGAGTGAGAGTGAGAGACAGAGATAAAGAGTGAGGCAGAGAGAGACAGAGAGATAGAAAAAGAGAGAGGCAGAGATAGACACAAAGAGAGAGATGGAGAAAAAAGAGAGAGAAAAGAAAAAGAGCTGGCCCAGCTGTCCTGTCCCCATTGCCTGGGGCTGGACCTGTGAGTGGAGAGGTCACTGAGATGGCCCCGCCCAGTCTCAGTCTTGGCTACAGCCCCCTGAGAGAATGCCTGGCTGAGCCCTGCTCGATGGGGTGGAGGCTGGCAGGGTCAGATTCGTTCTGGGAATGGAAGAGCTCAGGCTGATCGTGTTGCTGATGTCTCCATGGTTACCTGGAGTCACTAGAGGGAGAAAGACGGTCCCATTTGAGTGGGATCCGGTGTCTGGCCATCCGGCTCCAACTGTGTGTGTGACATGCGCAGCTACCCTGTCCGCCTGTGTCCCCAAAATCTCCACTCCAGCTACTGATGTTTTAAGATATTGAAGACTCAAACAGTCCCCTCAACATCAGCAAAACGCCAGATGCATCCAGGAAGCTGGGCTGTCTTTTTGCCTTCGGGGAAAAAGCCAGAACCTTCTGAAACTCAGCACCTTCCCTCCAGAACCTGGAGCCCGGGTTTCACTCCACTGGGGAAACTGACGGGAAGGCTAAGGACAGATGGAAGGAGAAGGGCAGAGAGAAACACGGAAGTGGAGAAGATGGGGATGCAGGTGTGAGGACTGGAGGAGAAGCATTGCTGGAGGTGCAAACTGTCCCTTATGTTTTTGAAAAATGTCTCTCTTTAGAAGGTCTGCTCTGAACACGCCTTCCAGAGCACAGGGTGTTGGACAGACAGGCGCCTTCCCATCTGTCCAGATGGAGGGGCGACTTCAAAGCTTAGGTGTGAGTGTCCCTGTGGAGAGTGGGGCCATTGAGTCCCAGATAGTGTTACTGTTACTGGTGACTGCAGTTCACAGCAGTTTGGGTTCCTGTGGCCGCAGCAACACATTTGCCTTATGAATTGTTATCTGTAATTTCTGAGGAGACAAAGAGAAAAGTGGAAGTAGTTGGTTCCAAAGATTTAACCATTTCTTCCATTTCTCAGTGTTGGTGACTTCAGGAACCATGTGGAGGAGGAGAGGATGTGCAGGAGATGCCGAGACAGCAGGTCCCTGGGCTGTCAGCAGCAGGGAGGGCAAAGCCGGGCACACAGCGAAGGGGACCAGGGAGGCCCAGAGCCCTGGGCAGCGCCTCACCCAGCTGGGGTGGGAACCTCCGGGGTGGGAGCAGAGGGCCTCCTGCTTCGATGGCTGCTGGTTCGTCCTGAGTTTCAAAGTCCAGGACCTAGAACTGGCTGACTTTGCTGGAGGAGTCAACCAATAAGAAAAACTGGAATTTTGTGATTCTAAAGCCTTCCACGAAACTCCTTGCATATATATATGTATGGATGTGCTACTCGATTTTCATATGAGTTTTGACCCAATAATTTCATTTTCCTACATCCAGATGATTCCCCCAGAGAGACCATGCAAGAAAAACAAATCGGAAGGTCCAGTGGAGAGCTTCTACCCTCGTTACCAGCTCCAGAGGCAGGGAGCTGTACCTGGTGAGACCAAAGGGCAGAGGCATCAGCTCTTCACTTTCCAGCTTTGAGGAAGTCTTTCACCAGTCCCTCATGGCCCACTTTTGTTTTCTAGCTTCTCAGCCTGTATTCATCGGCTCCTGAGTGAAACCATTTAGGCCCCTTCCCTCCTCTTCACTCTCCCTGTGAGGCAGCCCCTGAGTGGTTCCTTCTCCCAGATGCGCCCTGGGTCTTTCCAGGCATCTGCCTGGCCTCAGTCCCTCTCCTCCAACTGGAATGTTCTGCTCAGCATTTATTTTTCTGGTTAAAACTCAACCTACCACCATGATATTCCTTTTGGGGGGAAATTTGGCAATATGTATATCACAATTTTACAGGGGCAGCCCCATTAGCTGAAAACATGTATGAGTCATTTCTATGTTAACATACACAAGTTCAAAATTCATGAATATGCAATGGTAGAAAATAAAGAAGGCCATCAGCATGTCAATCAACAGGGACGAGTTAGATACAGCATGGGCCGGCCACACTGGGATACACGTAGCTTTCAAGAGAAGTGGATAAGTATGCCCAGACATGGGAAGGTGCCTAAGTTAGTAATTGAAGGCTATGGAACAATATAATGGTAAACTAAGCAGCTTGAAACAACCAGCATTTATTGTCTCACAGTTTCTGGGGGTCAGGAGTCCAGATACAGCTTAGCTGGTCCTCCACAACCAAGTTACGGGCTGGAGCTGCAGTCACATCTGAGGCTTGACTGAGGAAGGACTGCTTCCTCACTCACACAGTTGTCAGTAATTCAGTTCCTTGTGTGCTTTGGGACTGAGGGCCTTATTTCCTGCTGGCTGTTGGCCACAGCCTGCCCTCAGCTCCTTGTCACAGGGGCCCTCTCCATGTGGCCACTTGCTTCCTCCAAGCTAGCTAGGGAGTGTGTCTCCTAGCAAGACTGATGTGATCATCTTATGGAGCATCATCATGTACATCCCATTACCTTTGTCACTTTCAAGGGGTTAGAAGCAAGTCTATGTTCCAGGCTAAGAGATTGGGCAAGGGAGTGGATATAAGGAGGCAGGGATCGTGGGGGAGGTGACCATCTTAAAGGCTTTCCATAGCATACCCAGAATATGTTTTTAATTAATAAAAGGCAAATGAATCAGAACATAGGAGGGAAAGGATGGATAGCTAGCTACTAAATATTCTACAGCATTGAGTTACTGCTGGGAGTGGCTCCCAGCCAGGACCCCATTCCTCAGCACCCACGGACTGTGATCTAGGGAAGACCAAGTGTCTGGTTCTCACCAAGGGAACATGAGTGGATGGGGCGAGTGTCACTTCTGGTCCAGAGGATTAAGAAGTGGATGTGACTCCCCACACTCTCTCTTTTTTTTATATAACAGAAATATAGGGATTTATTACTTTTTGGCTTACAAACAAGGTCACCCAATAATGCTTGTATTTGCTTCCTATAAAAGATTACCAATTTCATTAAAAAACCACAAAACAAAATCCCAAATCAATTCCTACAGACAACATAAAAAAAGGGGAAAAGGAAATTATTTTCCCTGCTTTCAAGCTTTATTACACAGGTTCAAAAATTATTATTTTATGCCATTCTTAAGTCAAAGAACGTACTGCCATGCTTCTCTGCACTGAGTCTTAGGACATGCTAATGTCGCCAACTCAAATTTAAATGTAGTCCCAATGACATCACAATTTACAAGTGCATATGCCGGGATTAGGAGTGAATAGGAGAAAAAAACCAAATGTTTTAGAATATAGTTTAATCAAATAATCTAAATGAAATAAACATTCAATTTAGTAGGCTATCCTGTTAAATAAGGAGGCTGTGCAGAAAACATAATCAAACAGAACTTAAAATCATGTCTAGTAAATGACACAAATGATTTCTCAAATCTTTAAGTTTGACTTAAGTTCAAAGTCCAGTTGGTGGGAATTAACACTACATACTCTTGATACCGATTTTAGAACTTTAAATTCCAGAATAACAGGCTAATTTATTCATTAGTTTTCTGTTGACAACAGAATTCTAAACACACAAAATTAATGCAGTGGCCTCAGCACCCTCCCAGTTAACATTTCTTTAAGTTAGATTACAAGAACAATAAAACAGCTCAGAAGACATACACTCCCTATGCATTTCATAGGCCTGCCCAAGTTGTCCCCAGCTCTTTTGCAAGACACAAAACAATTTGTCTGATTCTAAGTCTATTCGGCAGAAGTATAAAAATCATACAAATGTTAGCACGTTTTCAACACGTTATGGAAATACATTTGGAGAGATGGAGTGCTCAATGTATATTATGTGGGCCACTTTAAATCAAAGGCATCATTACTTATTCCATTTTCAGACACTGTCGTGGTCTCTTATACCTTTATGTAAGGTCTGGTCCTAGACCAGAGACTTTAGTATCATTCCAAAGAATACGGAGATATTTATATATTTATTTCTTTTAAAATAATATTTAAAAGTTTTACTACAGAAAATCTGGCTTTAATATGGAAGCATTTTTCCTTCTCAAGATTATACACCTGCATGAAAGTAGGTGATTTCCTTTACATTTAGTTTTTCACAATAGCAAAATAAACTTCTTACACATTGCATTTAAGTTGACAAAGAAAGTTAAGATGTAAAGTTCCATGTAACTTTTTATATTGTGAACCGTCCTTTTTAACATACTCCAGATACACTGCTGATTATTTAATACAGTCCAATTTGATCAACTTAATTAGAAGCGTTATGCTGAACAATCTGTTGAACCAAATGTGCTAAAACAGTAAGTAGAGTTAGCTATTATGATTAAAAGGGAATTTTAATGTATCATTAACATATACATCAATTTTCTGACTATTGTTTCTGTAATGCATTTCTTTCTAAAGCTAAAACCACATGCATAAAAAATAAATGATATCTTCAAACTCATTCAACAGTTTTCTACTTTATGTGGTATGTAAATAAAGTCCTTTATTTAATTTCATACACATTATCTTAAGCATTATTTTATTTTTCTTGAAGGAATTCATATTTCAAGGTCAAAATTAGTATGTGTTTACACATGAGAACATTTTTTTAATGTTACTACTACCTGTAAATACATTCTTCCATAATAATGCACTTCCAGTTTTCACTGGAAAGATAGCACAAGCCTTTTGAAAGTCCTATGAATTAAGTTTATAAAGGGAGGAGAACACAAGTATGGTGAATCCCTCCCAATTCCCACTTCCAACAAAGTCTTAAGAAATCCTCCTGCTTCAAAACATAAACACAATCTCACAGTATCTTTATTTGATCATAATGTCGATAGGAAAACTGTATTCCTATTATTTTTGATACTAACAGTTTTACTGAATTTGTTTTCACTTTCTGTCAAAAAACTCATAGCATAGGTTGATATGGATTCTCAAACTCATTTAGATCCAGGAGGGTCATTAGAATAATATAGCCTTCTGATTTTAAAAGCAACTGATTTCTTATAGAAAAATGATATGTATCAGACATTTAATCAGAAAAAGAAAAATGAGAACATGTCTTTCATGTTTGATATCATTTAACTTACAAGATGATGGGAAAATAGGTTGGTTATAATTAAAAAAAAACTAAAACCTACTGCAACTAATGAAAAAATCAAACACTGAAGAATCAAGTATCTTCCAACTTAGCTAGTATTATTGTCCAAATAAATGTCTTCCATTGCACTGAATATTAGAATTAGAAATTCACTATATTTTAAGGCATATTTTAATCAGTATGTTCCAGAATTGCACAGTTATACTGATCAGTGTTCCAATTTCCCCACTTCTGCCCTCATCCCACCCCTTTCTTCTAGGCTCAGAGTATTAAGTCATGGTTTTGGTGGCTATTGTAGATTTGAGCTGGCATAACACAGTGTGTTCACTAGGTTTTGTGAGCATAAACATTAAAATGTTACATAAAATGTACCATAATTTACTTCAAACTCCAATCTAAGATGATTTAATGCCTTGACAAAAGGTGAGATGACTTAAGTACATTTTACGTTTTGGGCATTTAGACCACCATATGCATAGATGTTCTAATGCTGAATTCTTGGTCTTCAGTATCTCATAGTGCTGGATGCTCGGAAGTATGACAGAAACTTGTAACACAGACTAACCACAAAGTACCAGATGTTACTTGCCATCTGTGATCTTACAATAAAAATGCATCAGATGAGGATCACAAGGATAGTATTAAAACCATAACGTGGCCGGGTGCGGTGGCTCACGCCTGTAATCCCAGCACTTTGGGAGGCCGAGGTGGGTGGATCACGAGGTCAAGAGATCAAGACCATCCTGGTCAACAAGGTGAAACCCCGTCTCTACTAAAAATACAAAAAATTAGCTGGGCATGGTGGCGCGTGCCTGTAATCCCAGCTACTCAGGAGGCTGAGGCAGGAGAATTGCCTGAACCCAGGAGGCGGAGGTTGCGGTGAGCCGAGATCGCGCCATTACACTACAGCCTGGGTAACAGCAGTGAAACTCCATCTCAAAAAAAAAAGAAAAAAAAACCATAACGTATATTTCGCAACTTGTTCAGATGTTTTCTGGCCGCAAGGAGGCCAGACATTTCTTCATTCAACACGTACTTCTTAGTTCCCATGCAGTAGTTCTCTAGATATTCTGCCCAATGTAACTGCCGTACATCAATATTGAAGGTCTTTTTATCTTCAGGGTTTAGTTGATTAATTAACATATTGACATTGTCAGTATTCCAAACCCAAGAATTACTTGTGCAATATTCAAGAAACATCATAGCTTTCTGAAAACGAGTAATTGCTTTCATCATCCTTGAGCTTCTTCCAGTCATCCTGCGGTAGATATCATACAGGAATGCTGGGGCCTTATGGCTTACAACAATCCAGTAATGATGTAAAAGGTGATTGGAGGTTAGATTTACACTGGGCCGTCTGAAGGCCTGTTCGAGAGGATTCCTCTTGAAAGTGGAAATTACATGGTATTCAATTTCACCCCAGTGGAAAGGATGAGTGCTGCCTGTTGTACAATTATACACCATGGCGTTTCATGGTCTGTTAACTCCGGGATGCCAGGCTGCTGCAAGACTCGTTGACAACTACGTCTACAGGAACAAGATCTGCAAGGGCCCTGTTGGAGGCACGCATTTTTTGAAGAATTCCTTTCCCTGCTGCAATAAAGAGCCCACTTGGTCCATTAAAATTATCAATCCATCCTGGAAAAAGTTCTTTCCAACTGGCACCAACAATCGATAGCCTTATAATCGCCACATTTAGCTTTGCTCCTTCCTGTTGTACAACATATTCTGCCAATGCTTTTGTGTATATGTAGGTATTAGGTCTGTCTCCTTTCAATTTTGGTGTGATATCATTTACTAGGCCATCATCCATCCACTCTAAAGAATCGGTCAGCTTCTTGGGATCCACAGGTGGTGGGTAGACTACTTCATCAATATGCTTTTGGTTACAGCAGGCACATGCTGTTGATACATGCATGAACACCTCCAGGTTCTTCATTTGTTGTGCAAGGAGAATAAGCTGTCGCATTGCAATCGCACTTACCCGAACAGCATCTCTTAAGTTTTCATTAAACCTTACTGTAGCTGCACAGTGGAATATAATATTGGTAGAATCTATGATCACCTCTTTATCTTCTTCACTGAGAGCCAGTTTAGGTTGGGTGAGTTCGCTGTCGATTGCTATAATTTTCTCTCTAAAATCTGGATTTTCATCTCTCAGTCTGTCAAAGAGCTTGCCACTAAGGATTTCTTCTACTCGCTCTTGTGGTGTCTGTCTAGCTTTCTGCCTCACCAAAACATACACTGAATTCACCTTAGGACAAGATCTCAGCAACTTTTCCAGAAAGCACCTTCCCTAGAAAACCAGTAGCTCCTGTGAGGAGGACATTCTTGCCTTCATAGTATTCTGGGATTGAAACCATTATTTTGATCCTAGACACAGAGGCTCAGGCCTCACTCTCCTGCTGGCCATCCAGCGATGGCTGCCTCCCCACACTCTCTTTTTGCCATCTGCCCATTGAATTGAACAGAGTTGGCAGTGAAGATGTGGAGCTACCCAGTGAATGGGTTCAGAAATCCCTGCTGGGAGGTGAATCACCCAAACAGGAGCACCCACATGGCTAAAGATACATGCCAGAAATAAATTTTTACTTTGTTTAGCTGTGCAGGCTAAAATTTTGTTATCACAGCAGCTAGTATACCTTAAATAGTACAATTGGTTTTGTATAATTTGATTCAAAAATCTGTGTATGAGTATATGTAAGTATGGATGTATGTTATAATATGCACTTTTCATTCTCTTAATTGGGTAGTCAGAATTCTTCAATGTGTCTGCATAATGAAATACTCCAAAACTTAGAATCATAAAAAATAAGCATTTATGATCTCTCACAGTTGCTGTGGATCAAGAATTTGAAAGCAGTTAGCTCGGTGGTTGGGGCTGCTGTCACATCTAAAGGTATGACTGAGGTTGGAGGTTCCACCTCCCAAGCAGCTCCTCACACACCTGGGCAGTTGGTGCTGCTTGTGTGCAGGAGGCATGCAGACCTCTCCTCAGGGCCACTTGAGTGTCCTTATGGCACGACAACTGGCTTCCTCCAGAGTGAGGAATCCCAGAGAGAGCAAGGCAGATGCTCATGTTTCATGAGCTAGCCTCTAAAGTCAAGCACAATCATGTTTGTGATATCTGTTGATGACACAGGTCAGCCCTATTCAATGTGGGATGGGACTATACAGAATATGAAGAGGGAGAGGCTGGCTACCATAGGGAGGGCACAATAGAAAGGCACCTTGATCAGAGTCTCGGGGCAGGGCATGGAAACTGAAAGGCTTAAGCAAAATAAACAAAGTAAAGGACAGGCTCAGCTGCTTTTGACAGGAGTGGTGATGAAGGCTCTTGTCCACAGAGTGAAATCACACAGGGAGAAGACCCACAAGGAGGGTCACAGAGGTCAGCAAGGCTGGAGTGGACATCTGTGGACATGGTGACAGAATGAGCCTCAGGGCTGCTCAGTGAGGGTCAGAGATGACATTGCAGAAGCAGGAGCCCAGCACAGAGATGACCAGGACAGCAAGCCCACAGACTGCTGAGTGATTTGGAAACTGATCCTCCCTTCATCTCCAGGGCACTGGAGCAGAAACCAATGGTGTATTTGTGATGGGGATGGTGGGTCTCGCTCTCAGGTATCATGTGGAAGGAGAAAGAGACTGCTCCTTCTTTAGATTTGCACTCATGTCTGAGTGGGTCATCCTCTAGGCTTTGGAGATTCAGGTAGCTGCTATCCACTATGTCCGAGGACTCCCAAGTGAAGGGTTCATGATCCCCACGTTGGGGGTGGTGGGCAGGAGAAAACATTAGCATTTCCATTTCTCTCTAAAAACCAGCAACCTTACCCTGTGCTGACGCTGAGTGTGCACCTGCCCTCTGGTAGTGCCTGTTTGCTTCCCAAGTCCTGTGACTACTCTCCCCCTCATGTAAGGGACAGATAGCTTAATAAGACTCCCGCCAAGAGACCGCAGAATAAAGATTCTATTAATCATTTCTCTGGCAATGAGACAATGGCAGAGCTGGCAGAGCTGACACTGTCTGTAGATTTCACTGGAGCCCCATGCACATGACAGCAAGAATCTGAAAGAGGGACTGACATCAGCATTGTCAAGACGAACCGTGCCCTGGGTATGCCGTTCATGGAGTGTTAGCTAATGCAGTATTAAGCCAGCATTTAAAAAAACTTATTTTTTAATTTTAATTGACACATAATGGTTGTATGTATTTATGGGATACAATGTGATATTTCATTACATGTACATATTGTGTAATGATCAAATCAGGGTAATTAGCATAACCATTACAACTTCATTACTTCTTTGCGGTGGGAACATTCACAATGCCTCTCTTCTAGCTGTTTGGAAATATACAAGAACTTATTGTTGGCTACAGTCACGCTACTGTGTAGTAGAGCACCAGAGCTTATTCTTCCTTTTAACAGTATCTTTGTACCCATCAACCAGCATCTCCCCATCCTCCCCTCCCCGCTACCCTTCCTGTCCTCTGGTAACCACAATTCTACCCTCTACTTCTATGAGCTCAACTTGTTTTAACTCCCACATATGACTGAGATCATGCAGTATTTCTCTTTCTGTTCCTGGCTTATTTTGCTTTATATAACGTCCTCCAGGCTCATCCATTTTGCTGCAAATGACAGGATTTCATTCTTTCTTTTCATGGCTGAATGGTATCCCATTATGTATATGTACCACATTTCTTTCTCCTATGTATCCTTGATGGACACAGGTTGATTTTCTCTCTTGGCTATTATAAATAGTTAAGCTAGTATTTTTAGCAGAACAATTACAAATATTCTTTTAGGATTATGTTATCTTTTAAAAGTCTTTGTGTATGTTTTGTAATGCGTATCAAATATAAATACAATAGTTATGTGTATATGATAAAAATGCACAGGTATATGTATGCTGACTTTTAAAAATGAACAGCGATGTAGTTCAGAAAATGAGATGCCCTCTTTCAGTGACTACTCTGTCTCTGGTGTTAGGCTGAATGACCAGGTGGATAACTGCCTTGCTGGCCCACTGAGGCAACCGCCCTTTATCTCCTCCTCCAGAGTATAGGTCGAGGGCAGCTGCAGTCCCATGGTGCTTGAGATGCAGCCGGTGAGGCCATTCCTGTATCACTGGTCCTGAAAGTCAGCTCTATGCTCTTTTCTGTGCTGCATAGATTGTCCTGGAGAGTTTTCTTTTTGTTTACGAATCTCTCTGATTGGGGGTCTTTTGTGGAATGGAAGTTTTTTCATTAGCAGACAACACAATGGAAAACTTCCAAGTAACTGCCTCTTAAATTTTTGTCGGGGCCAGTGTGGTGGCTCATGCCTGTAATCCCAGCACTTTGGGAGACCGAAGCAGGCTGATCACCTGAGGTCAGGAGTTCAAGATCAGCCTGGCCAACATGGTGAAACCCTTTCTCTAAAAAAGTACAAAAAATTAGCAGAACATGATGGTGGGTGTCTGTAATCCCAGCTACTTGGGAAGCTGAGACAAGGAGAATGGCTTGAACCCAGGAGCAGAGGTTGCAGTGAGCTGAGATCATGCCATTGCACTCCAGCCTGGGTAACTAAGCGAGACTTCGTCTCAAAAAAAAAAAACCATTTGTCCTGCCAGGAATGGAACTAAGCCAGGAATCCATGAAACAAGAAAAACAACTCTGAGGGCCCCTGGGTGATCTGCTATCCTGTCTGGGAGCCATCCTTCCCTCATGGGTCCTGGAGGCTTCTACTTTTAGGACTTGAAAGACACAGTGCCAGGGGTTCAATCCCATTTACCTCTAGGGCCATGCTTTCTGCTGGACATGGTGGGCTTAGGTGTCTGAACATGCCTGGACCAGAGTTGAATCAGAAGAATCATCCTCCAATTAGCTATGAGAACAGCACCATTCCCAAATAGTGAGAATCAGCCTGCATCCCTCTGGGGCTTGGAGTCTCTGCAGGCATCATGAACTGATTCCATGGCCTCCACTTGGGGTACAGCAAGACCTGGTGCCCAGGAGGGGTGGCCATTCATGGGGCAGGCTCACAGCCTCTCTGCCGAGTGTCATCTCTTCCCAGAGCCAGCAGGTTTTCCATGGTGATGCAGATGGCCTGAGAATGGCCAGGATTCGGGGTCTCCACATCTCCATGGCTCAGCCCCAGCCAGCAACCAGCGCAGGATCCTAGCCCATGAGTGGCCACCTGCTTCAGTGTCCTGGGAGCACACATCAGTTGCAACAGGGTTGCCAGGCTTAGCCAACAAAAATATTGTCCCATGCAATATTGGGGATGTATTTACACTAACGTTTATTGGCTGTTTATCTGAAATGCAAGTTTAACTGGGCTGTCTGTATTTTATTCAACAATGCTAAATACAAGGGCTTTGAATTTGGGTTCTGTCATCTAGTGACCTGAGAGCTATCTGAGCTCCCCGAGGCTCAGTTTTGTAGTCTGTAAAATGGGAAGGACAATGTCACCTCTGTGCTATGGGACAATATGCAAAATGGGAGAGAACCTTCTAGCTGAGTGGCTGGGATCTTGGTCCACCTGTCTCTTATCTTGTGTAGCAGAATGCAGCTGCCCAGCTCCACGTGTGAGGAAAATTCCATTGGAACATGGATGGCTTGTAATGATGCTAGTGACAAAGGTTGCCATTCATAATTGAAATTCCCGGCCAGGGTTTCCATTCAGCACGCAATAGTCCCTTCCTAAGTGCTGGGTGCTGTCCACACTCTGTCATCGCCACCGACAGCTCTCTGGCTTCAAAGGCCCTGGGAATGCCAGTGAGTCTGTAGTTGCTGTTTGATGAGAGCTGCTTTATCATCCCCAGGTGGCTCTGCTGCTCATCATACTGCATAGGGATGGAGTCACCTTGGTGTTGGGGACTATGGCTCCAGGCCCATCGTGAACTGCTGTTCACAATGATGGCATGAATCTTCTGATAATTAAAAGGGGTCAACTTGACTGGTTTGAGGAACACCTGGATGGCTGGTGAAGCGATTTCTGTGTTTGTCTGTGGGACTGAGAGGACGACCCACTCTCAGTGTGGACAGGCAGCCTCCTGTTGGCTGGCAGAGGGACAGGTGGACAAGGCAGGTAGAAGAAGGAGGATGCATACCAGCACTTTCTCTCACTCTCCCTCTCCCTTCCCGAGCAGGAGGCTTTTTCTCTTCCTGTCCTTGGACGTCAGACTCCAGGTTCTTTGGCCTTTGGACTCTGGGATTTGCATCAGCAGCCTCCTGGTTGCTCTCTGACCTTTGACCTAGGACTAGGGGCTGCACTGTTGGCTTCCCTGGTTTTGAGACTTTCAGAGTTGGACTGACATTTTTCATAAACCATCCTGCAGATGACCCAGCATGGGTCTTGGCCTTCTTAACTGTGTGAGCCAATTCTTCCTA